ATGGTCATGCCGGGGAACCGCTCCTTCCCGCGGTGCGTCCTGGGCTGAGAATGGCCGCCGAGTCGGGCGACCAGGGATAGATCCAAGTCAAACTTGTCCACGAGCCAATCCACATCCGCGGCGCTGTTGGCACACAAAACCTTGGCGAGCTCCGGCTTCTTGGCGCCACCCTTCAGGGTGTCCGCGATGAAGATCTCCTCTTTTCTTCAATACAACCGGGTGCAAAAGTGCTCAAACCTTCCCTAGTTATTGACAAAACACACAAAAAAAATTGATATCCCATTGGCTATCGAAGTTTCGGCGTTGTCCGGGATAGACTTGCCCTTCTGCGTCTTCGTGCCAGCACCGTTGATGCCACTGGTGGCCTTTGTGCTGTTGCCGCCGCAGAAGGAGGACTTGTCCAGCAGCAGACTGCGGCCACCCAACTCGATGACCGTGTTCGCGGCAGACATGCCGGCGAGGCCTCCGCCGACCACGATCACCTGGTTCGCGGGGAAGACGCACGCCATGATGCTGACGGGAAGCGCACGTTACGTTCGACCTTGCTACGTCCCTGTGTGGCTGAAGGTGCTTCAGCCCAAAATGGCTATGGGCCTCAAAGCCTGACAAAGTGAGACTTCGGGGCTGTTAGGCTTCTGCAGAGACACAGCGCACAACACGCCTTGCTCTCTAATCGCGAGCAGCCAGAAGTGGGCATAATCCGCTTTCAGGTTTCAAGTGCCATGCTCACGTGTGTCGGCACCCTCCTGGAATCTCAAACTACGTGTACGAGCGGTTTCGGAAGCCACTTCCGACATCATGCTGCCCGTCCTAACTTGGCACAGTCTCCATCCAGGTGTGGGAGGAGATGATTTTGCCGCAGACAGTGCAGCTTGACATCATCCAACCGGAACAGCTAGCGACGTCTAGCTGCTAGCTACTGCGATCCGGAAAGCAAGCACGCGCTGAAACGAAATCGCTTTCGGGGGGGTTTAAAGCGAAGAGAACAAAACAATCGAAAATAAAGTTCAAAACGTCTTTTCCAACAAGAAAGATGGAGAAACCACGCGAAACCGCTTCAGGGGGCTGAAACCGAAGAAAAGAAAATGAAATAAATGGAAAATTACGGGAGAGTAACGCAAATTCCACGCAAAAGTCTGTTTCCAACAAGAAGGAGAAGCCACACGAAACCGCTTTTCGGTAGTAAAACGCGAAGAAAATCAAAAAATCAAAAATAAAATTGCGTTGTGCCAACACTAAAAATGCAGAACCACGCCAAATCGCTTCAGAGCGGCTAAAAGCAAATCAACAAAATGAAAACAAACTAAATGAAAATAAAAGAAAGAGAGGCCACAGAATCTTGCTTGGAGGGATAAGAGCGACATGCCTTTCGTTCCCTCTCATGCACACCCGAATTCCAATCTAGCTTCAACCTGGATTCAACCAGGTTCAACCCAGGCATGTGGAACCTGGGTCAAACCCAGGTTCAACCGAGGTTGAATTTTTTTCCGCGGACCCCACACGCTCACTGCTCACCGGCTGGTCTTCAGCTGGCCCTTGGAAAAACCTGCTGCTACTGCCAACAGTTGCACGAGCTGGCTGCACTTTGCTCCTCGGGTCTTTTCTGAAAGAGCAGGACTGCGCAAGCTTCGCCGAGGGTTATGAGAAAACGAGCAGTCACAAACCCAAAAGCACTTTTAACAGCTTCCAACATGTTGTGACATCAGAACATCCAAAGTTGGTTGAAAATTCACAACGACCGGCATAGGTGGTGGACGTGCCGGCGAGAACGATCATCCACCGATGGTACAACGGCATTAACCACTTCGACCTGGTTCCACCGCCACACGAAGCTTTGGAATGGGCACCGCCATCGACATCATCTTCTTCGCTGCCGCCGCCGCTGGAAGAAAGACTGCGACCCGCACCCTGAAGGGTGATGGTTAACTCGAACTCACCTGTTGGAGCTGATAAGTCCAGTGTGCCTTGTCAGCAAGATGTCAAAAATGGAGAGTTGCAGACACATGTCGCTGTATAAACAACTCGTGCTCTATTGCGTTTCGACAGGCAGAAGACTCAGCCGTTGAAACTGTTAAAATGAAGGTCGAAATAAGGTCCAGGTTGCTCTGGAGGCTTCTCCATCCGCACAAAACCGCTAAACCCAACACACAAGCAATGCAGAGACCAGAAATGTTGCAATATAGTCCATGTAGAAAAAACAGACACGTGCAAGCCCATATCGTGCATGAGGGATTCTGGAGTAAAGCACAGTGGGCTCAAATCCGCCTTTCTCGATGTCGTCCAAATTTTGCTGCTGTCTGTTGTCCATGGCACATTTTTTAACGCCTGAAAACAAAAATTCAAAAAAATTCTCTGGCGTTAACACGCCCAATTCACAATCGCTTCTTGCTTTTCATTTGAGCAAGAGCAAGTGAAGCAAAAATAGCCGAATGCGTTCCACAGACTTGCCGACTTACTTGAACCTGAAGAGCAGAAGGACAGAGAAATTTAGAGAAGGCATCTCCAGCAGATCTGAGCAGGATTTCTCGCTTTGCAGAGATTGAGAGATGTTGACGCCGCTTGGTGCAAATGGAATGCTGGCTTTCTTGCACACGCGCTTCAAAGTTCAGAAGGCTGCAGTGCATTCGAGATTGCTGCACGGTCGCAAATACAAGAAGTTGATGCCGTTTGGATCGTTTGTGTGCGCAGCTTCGTCCAAGAGCAAGGGTGAGAGTTCGAAGCCGTGTGTGTGGTCAGGTCGTGCAACATTGGGTAACTTGAACTTGGTTGCAAGCACCGGGAAAAACGCTGGAATCTGTTTTCTTACAACAAGAAGCGATCAAGTGAACTGCATTATTGTGCGAATCTGGCGCGCGTCCTCTCAAAGGTGCTTGTTTGGGTTTGTCAAAAATTGTGCTGTAGGCAACAGATGGCAGCAAAATTTGGACAACATCAAAAATGGAAAAAAATACCATTTACCAGCCTGTCCAGAAAACTGTCAAATTACCCAATAGACAGCTTCCAGCTTCCTTCGAGGCATTGGTAAACTCGAGCTTCGGCTGGGCTCTTCCTTTTGCCGATTTGACGGATTTCCAGACCGAAAAATTCAAACACGTGTCCGCCACAAGATGTCTGCAGCGTTTGGAATTTGATGTTTTGGGCAATTGTTGCGCGACTTTTTAAAAACAATTGGGGCTGGGCCCCAGACCTTCGACGAAGGGGGGGCTTAAGGGGGGATTCAAGGGGAATTAAGGGGGGCTTCAAGGGGGGGCTGAAGGGT